TACTAACCAAATGGAAGGCAAATATCTGGATTTAGCTTCTCAGAATTGTCCATATTTGATAGTGGGTCAAGTGCCATTTGAAATATAGGTGCTCAACTGTGATTAAGAATACAGAACTCCAAACAATTTTATTTGGTTTCAGCCCTTCTCTTTCAACTTTTGACTGTTATCTTGGAATTGGATGCTAAAATTGGCAAAAAGGCAAAACAGATGGATAGTCTGTTAATGGAGCTAGTTATCATGAATGCTATGCTGTGCAATTTTGGTTAAACTGTCATTAGATGATAGATGATGTTCTCATTAGAATTTTAATCTCTTCAGCATGTGCTTACTTGTTCCTACTTCTTGATATTACCCATGCCCCAAGCATTTAAAAGTTTGATTTTTTCTGTCTTTTTGCCTTCAGTTACTTTTTCCTTTTGCAATGTCTTCCAAGCAACAAGGATTTTTTTTTTTTTTGAATAAGCAACTGCATTTGGGTAAGAATGATTCCATTGTTTTTGTAGCTATATGATCAAATCATAAACCAAGCAGACTTTAGCATTATTTACCTGTATCATTATATAGCATTTTAGAGTGCAGGATGGCATTGCATTTGGTCTGTTGAGGATATCAGGTTATTAATAGGCTTTCCTGTTGTATGACTTGTTGGAAACAGATAGAATGGCCCTTTTATTCTAGGTTTTGATGTGTTAATTTGTGCAGTCCATCTGACACTTTGTTTTGCCTTTATAATGACTTGTTGTGACGGCATTTGTTGAAATATAAGTTTGGTTTGTGTGTGAACCACTCTGAAATTTATGCTGCTTAGATGTGCATATTTTGCATACTTGTTTGCACCATATTTACTTTCTCTGCATGTAGTAGTAGTTGATAATATAAGAGCAAACAAGATTTACGGGAAGGATAAAGTAAATTTTAGAAGGAAGACATTTCAAAGATAAGAATTTCCATCTGGACTCTTTGTTATCTTTGCTTTATTTGGTTTATGGCTTTTGCTGCTTATACAGGCATATGATATATCCTTGTTTGCACCATATTTACTCTGTATGTGGTAGCAGTTGATAATATAAGAGCAAAACAAAATTAACAGGCAGCATAAAGTCAATTTTAGAAGGAAGACATATCAAATACAAGAAGTGCCATTCTGACTCTTTGTTAACCATGCTTTGTTTGGTTTTATGGCTGTACGTATGCACATTTCTGTACCATATTTTATACTTGGAACATTTGGAGATATCTAAAGATGTCAAATTGCTAGTTCATATAATATCTTTCCTGATTGATGTGGACCTGACTGCACGAGCATTGTTAATCTTTTCCCTTTTTATTACTCTTGTTTACAGGAGGGTATAAATGTTTTGGCAGTCAATTATGGATCTCCTGGGTCATGCCCATATCCTCGGAACTTGAAACTTGTAAGTCAGGATTGAGCTCTTAGTCTGGTATTTCATCCCTGTTAATTGAGCACAGTACAGAAACCTCTTCCTCCCCTGTAAATGTTTGGCTGTTGTTGCTTTTATACTGTATGCTTCTATCAACTTTGAGCCTGATTCTTAGTTGCTAGGGATAGCCACTAATTTCTCTCAATTAAGGGGAACCACAATTATGTCAACCACCATGAATTATGAAATAATTATGCTTAGTTTGCATAACCTGATGTTAGTTGCTCCGATAATTTTGCTTTTATCCTTGCAACATCCTTTAACCAACATCTGGCATGAATGAAAAGCAGGGAAAATTTTTCTATACTATGCTGCCCTTAAAAGTTATGGAACATTCGATTTTTGGTTTACATGCTAGCTTCATTTTGATGTCCCATGCAGATGAATGTGGAGTATCAATACTTATATAAAAGTAAGCCTATTCAGTAAATGATCAAAAGGATGATTGAACCTCAAAGGAAAGTGAAGTATTTCTAATTGCTAGGCCTCTAGAATCTAAATGAAAAAAGAGTGCATTTAGATACAAAAAGAAAAATTCACTTTTCTGAAGAAGAAAATCGATGGTTTTACTTTCATATGGAACAATGCTGTTTGAAAATTTGTTACATTTCAGCTTGTTGCTCTTTTTTTCTCAAATATGAATTAGCTTTATCCTTTTAGCAAATTTTGAGGAAGCTAAAGCAAATAGTTAAAAGGATGTAACAAATGCAACAACCAAATGGAGTCCAATTAACTAATATGAAGTTGATTTTACGAAGCCTGACCTGTATGTAGATGAACTTGTATGTCATCTTTTAGTTGCTATTTTCCATGAGCTTTGTTTCATCAAAATATTTCTAGTTTACCATAGGGGAGAGTTTTGCCTTCAGCACCTGTAAGCTGAACAAGTATTTAAAACTGCTACTTAACATAACTGTGACTTTAGCTTGTCTGTGAGTTTTAGCATTCAGCATATGTAGTTGTTTGAGTTTTTTAGACCTGCATCAACTTGTGTTAAATGTAAAGTTCAATTGTGAATGTATTGGAAATGGTTGAACCTTGAAGAAGATGAGAGGAGATTCTTTTCTTTGAAAAAAATTTTGTTTCATAATGATACCTTTATTTGCATTTTATAATCTTTATTTCAGCCTGCAAAGTGGTCCTTCAACTCACATACAGTTTTGAAGAACAGTGAGCAGGCACCAAGGTATGCTGCTTTTAAAGTTGTTCTTTCTAGCTTTTTTTAAACATGGGTATTATCTGTACAGGGAAAACAGAATAATTTGGTAGTATCTCTCTCAAATTGAGATCATTAAACTATGTTTCTTTAATATCAATTCTGTTGAGAAAAAGGATGCAGTACAAGCTTTTCTCTTCACTTTTGAATGTATGATATAGGTTCTATTTTGGAAAATCTCAACATCTTTTGTTTCATTTCTGGTTGATAATTGTAGCATATTTAGGTTGCATTGACTATGTCTCATTCTCTTTTATAGAGCTCCCATCTTTACCGAAGAAATTCTTGGTGGTGAGAATGGAGAAGGTGAAGTTGTGCTGCCGCCTGAAAGGTCTTTCTGGGCTAAATACGTGAGTAGTCAAACTGTATACGCTAATTCTTTTGTTAGCCTTTACCATAAATTTTCTTTAGTCTGATCATTGAAATATCCATATCAGTGGATGTATTTGATCCCTTTGGGACTCATCGTCATGAATGCCATAACACAAGCGATGAATTTGCCCGAGGAACAGGCTACTGGCCAAGTACCTGCTCAAGGGCAGCCATCAGGTGGAGCGGTGCAGCGTGGGCCTAGTTCTGCTGTTCGTAGAAGATGATGATAAGGTTGCTAATTTGTACCCATTTGGAAGTACACTGGAAATCCATTGGGGACAGAGTTGAGATTCATTTCGACTAGGGTTCCTCAATTGCATGAAGATTGTTATGGATGTTTTATACTGTCCATCCTGTAGTGGTAACTCAAGCCATGTAATGAGGAAGATCAGTAAAGGGAAAATTCCAGGAAATTCTCTGATTTTGCATGAATGACCATGCAATTTTACTTTTAGTGTTAGAAAAATTAATGGAGGACAAACAACTTAGTTGGTTTGCCTTTTGCTTTTTCCTCTGAAATCAGAAATATTTTATGTGATAATCCCATTGATCATTGAATCATGTCCTCTGTTTAAGTGATATGGCAAGATTTAGGAGTATTGATTTTCTTTCTTTTTACAATATTTCTTATATTGGTTTTACTTTAATTTTACTTTTTGCATGTAAGTAATTGTGCATTTATTTGAGACATTAATTTCATTTTACTTTTAGAGCCTGATCTCTGATTTGTCCACTATATTTATTATTTTGGTTTTCAATTTAGTTTTTTTTAACTAATTTATGAATTTATTTAATTTTTCAACTCGCTTTTTGAAGACCAATATTTCGAAGTGAGATATGTTATGCTGTTTTATGTTATTTAATAATCTACATTTTAAGTTTATTAATTGATTAAATTGTTCTGTTTTTCAAACTTTTCAATATTAATTATGTTTATCTTTGTCTTTAAAAGTTTTTAGTTAATTTGGTGAGTTATTAGTATATTTATCTTATTGTTGTTAAATAGAGATAAAATAGCCTTGTAATATTTTGGTTATTTACTTTATTTTGCACATAATATTTACTTGCCTCTCCATTTAAACATTCGAATTATAGTAAGATAAGGAGTGGAAATGAAATTTTCATATTATCAATAAAAAGAATAGATACATAACCTCTTAAAAATCTTTGAAAAGCATCATGTTCTGGAAAATTATTAATCGTAATTTGCAAAATTTTGATGTGTAATTCTTAGTTATAGATTGAATTTGCATATTTTTTTCTTAAATTGTGTATTTTTAAATATAAAATATAAATATTTAACATTGAATCAAATGCTCAAAAATTTTATTTTTGAGTGAGTAGTTCGGCAATCATAGCATAAATATTGAAGGAAAGGGGAGCAACTATATAATAATAAGATAAAATATTTTTATTTTTTAAATTTGGATAAAAATTATATAAAAATGTATTAATTTTTAAAATATACACCTTATCTTAAAATTTTTTTTTATTAGATCTGTAACTTCAGTTGTTAGTCAACTGATAATGTTTTTGTCAACTTGATAACATGGCAAGAGGAAAAACACAATTTTCTCATTGATTAATTTTTAAAATTACTATTATATAATTTTATTAATTAAAAACAAACTCACTTCATTTGAAAATGTTTCTTATTTTATTTATTTTTTTAAAAATATAATAATAAATTTTTAAATTAATAAAAATAACATATTTAATCTTTTCATAATATTGTTAATAATATTTGCACTCTAGTGAAAAAGTATTCATTTTAAAAATTAATGGATCTTTTTTAAATTTTGATTAAAATGTAAGAGTGGGGTATTTTATCTTAATTATAAACATTTTGGTAGAAAATGTATATTTTAAAAGTTTTGGGCGTCATTGTAATTATATAATGTTTTGGGAGATTTTTGACATTTACTGCGTTTTCACAAATATACTAACTGATATAAAGAAACCTAAAACCCTAACAATGCCTCTCTACTCTTTGCTCTTTCTCTCGGCCGACAAAGCCGACTAGAGATAAAACTAGTGAAAACCGACCCTTGAAGGAGAACGAAGCCAACTTTTTAAAATTTCAGTGGAATTTGTTTTCTGGGTTTGGAGGAAAATAGCTTCATAACTGAAACCTGTGAGTATTCTTCCCTTTTTTTTCAGTTTTGGTTGCTGGATTTTATTGTTAATTTCTGAGTCCATGGTAGAAGTGGGTTAGTATAATGGAAGAACTGGAATTAAGATTTATAGTTACTTTGTTAATATGATTGTTGTTAGCATGCTTCACCCATGTAGATTAATCTTTTAGGCTGGCACAGTTTATCGTTTCCTTAATTTGTAATAGTTTGTGTATACAGATTTTTATGGGTAGTTTTTATTTTTCTAAGGGGTCTTTTATTCATTTTTTCTGGCAAATGAATTTGGCTTCAACATTTTATTTGCTGAGGGGTTTGCTTCCTTTGTCTAATATCCATCCAGCATCATTTCTCTATTGTTCCCGAAATCCTTTTAATTTAGCCTAATTCATCTTGGTTTTGCAGACCAACAATAAAAATGGTTCAATACAATTTTAAAAAAATCACTGTTGTACCAAATGGGAAGGACTTCATAGACATTATTCTCTCGCGTACCCAACGTCAAACGCCAACTGTTGTCCACAAAGGGTATGCTATTTCCCGTCTCCGACAGTTTTATATGCGTAAAGTGAAATACACCCAGCAGAATTTTCATGAGAAGCTTTCAACAATAATTGATGAGTTCCCTCGCCTGGATGATATCCATCCATTCTATGGTGATCTTCTTCATGTGCTCTACAACAAGGATCACTACAAGCTTGCTCTTGGCCAAATAAATACTGCGAGGAACCTTATTAGTAAGATCGCTAAAGATTATGTCAAGCTGTTGAAGTATGGTGACTCACTCTATCGGTGCAAGTCTCTAAAGGTTGCTGCTCTTGGTCGTATGTGTACTGTCATTAAAAGGATTGGCCCAAGTTTGGCTTACCTTGAGCAGATTAGGCAACATATGGCAAGGTTACCATCAATTGATCCAAATACTCGGACCATCTTGATTTGTGGGTACCCTAATGTTGGCAAGAGTTCATTTATGAACAAAATCACAAGGGCCGATGTAGATGTTCAGCCTTATGCTTTCACTACCAAGTCACTCTTTGTGGGTCATACCGATTACAAGTACCTTAGATATCAAGTAATTGATACACCTGGGATTTTGGACAGGCCATTTGAAGATCGAAACATTATTGAGATGTGCAGTATTACAGCATTGGCTCACCTGCGAGCTGCGGTGTTGTTCTTCCTGGATGTATCTGGGTCATGTGGGTACAGCATTGCCCAGCAAGCAGCTCTTTTTCACAGCATTAAATCTCTCTTTATGAACAAACCCTTGATCATTGTTTGCAATAAGACTGATTTGCAGCCACTGGACGGCATATCTGAGGAAGACAGGAAATTGGTCATGGATATGAAAGCTGAAGCCATGAAGACTGTGATTGGTCAAGGAGGTGAGCCTGCGAACGAAGAAGGGGTGCTATTGACGATGAGTACTTTGACTGAGGATGGAGTGATTTCTGTGAAGAATGCAGCTTGTGAAAGGTTACTGAATCAGAGGGTTGAATTGAAGATGAAATCCAAGAAAATAAATGACTGCCTCAATAGGTTTCATGTTGCAATACCAAAACCACGAGACCAGAAGGAACGGCCTCCTTGCATACCTCAGGCTGTTTTGGAAGCTAAAGCTAAGCAAGCAGCAGAGAAGGAGAAGAGGAAAACTGAAAAGGATTTGGAGGATGAGAATGGTGGTGCTGGTGTATACTCTGCTAATTTGAGGAAGAATTATATATTGGCTAATGATGAATGGAAAGAAGATATAATGCCTGAAATTCTTGATGGTCACAATGTATACGACTTCATTGACCCTGATATATTGTTAAGACTTGAAGAGTTGGAACGTGAAGAGGGTCTTCGGCAAGCAGAGGAGGAAGCTGATGACTTTGAGATGGATGGCCAAGAATTATCCCCAGAAGAGCAAGAAGCACTGGCTGAGATAAGGAAAAAGAAAAGTTTGCTTATTCAACAGCATAGGATAAAGAAAAGCACTGCAGAGAGTCGGCCCATTGTACCAAGAAAACATGACACAGACAGAAAGTTCACAACAGACAGGATGGGCATGCAGCTGTCTGCTTTGGGGCTGGATCCTTCTCTTGCAATTAATCGTGCTAGGAGCAAGTCGAGAGGCCGGAAAAGGGAGCGATCAGTTGACAGGAGAGAGGGTGATGGTGGTGATGCTATGGATATAGATGGTAATGAACCAAACAAAAAGCTTCGTCTGAGGTCTATGTCACGGTCAAGGTCACGGTCAAGGTCACGGTCACGGTCACGACCTCCTACTGAAGTTGTACCTGGAGAGGGCTTGAAGGATTCTGCTCAAAAGGTTAAGGCGATTAAATTGGCAAAGAAATCTGTTAAGAAGAGGAACAAGAATGCTCGTCGTGGAGAGGCTGATAGGGTTATTCCTACATTAAAACCAAAGCACTTGTTCTCTGGGAAGCGTTCCATTGGAAAGACTCAAAGACGTTAAGACATGTAAGGCCATCACATGCATTGTTCTTAGTTTTACTTTTTCTCTTCATTTGTGTTTCTTTTATGGTGTTCTGTCTGCCATGCATCTGCTAGCCATACATGTTTCTTAGACAAGGTGCATTCTCTATAAATCTTTGAGATGTTCTGTTTGTAAGAGCTCCTTGTAGAAGTTGTTTTCCTTTTGGGTATGCATACTGAGTGCCTGGTATTGGAATAAATTATTGAATACCAAAAAGAAAAAAAGATGGAAATATGCTTTGGTGGGCAATTTCTTTTTTAATTTTTAACCTATGAGCTCCTGTTATACTTATGAATCACTTTTTATGGTGAATGGCCTAATTGTTCGTCAATAAATTGGATATTTGTTTGAAGAGTGAGAATTGCTTGATCCTCTCAGGGTGCATTCTCTGTGTGTAGTCATTCTTTTATTGCAATCCAGAGACAATTGTTATGCATTTATAAGTCTAGTTGTACTAGTAGAAACTACGAAACAAAACCATGGAGGTGCAGGCAGACCACCCTTTTCAAGATGAAAATGCTTGCACCCAATCCTTTGGATGCTTCATCCTTTGTGACTGGGTCACAATCCAATCTGCTGTGTAGTTAGCAGGTCTTGACACCTAACTAAGCTTGGAATGTCTGATTTGCTGTCTTAGTCTTCCAATGTCTCTCAGCACTGGCAATAGCTTCCACTTTTTCTCTCTGCTGTTTGTCTTTTTCAATTCCCTTTTAAGTTCCTTCGAGTCAGATTCGAGGATCACTTGCTGAAAACCCTTCTAGTTTGCCAAAAGAGGTCTCTTTCTCATAGCCTCTGCTTCCACCAATAGATTCTGCATAATATTCCTGCCAATATCATCAATCACTTGATCAGTGTTATCTCGAGCTATGACTCCAATTCCAGCTGCCTTACTTCCCTGACTGAGCCATCACAATTGATTTTGATCCATCCTTCATGGGGGGCTTGCCACGTTTCTGTATCCAATTTTGTCTGCCAATTCTCATCTGTTGATCTGTAAGGAACAGCTTCTGAGGTGTTTAAAAGTTTTGTAGCTAGCCTCTGCTCTTGCAGTACTGTTGGTGGGTTGGGAGAGAATGATCAAATACAGCTTCACATCTAGCCTTCCAAATTGTCCAACAAATAAAACCAATTCTGGTCATGATGATTTTTTTCAATGTTTCATTCTTGATATATGTCCTAGGTAGACTACAGCCGAGAAACAAAACCTGTTCATCAAGTCTGTATTTATTCTCAGAACTAAATGAACCCCATCTCAAACCGTACTTGCGCCCCACTGACAATGGAAAATAACATGCTCGGTTATTTCCTGATCAGAACCACAAATTGGATAGCAGTGAGACTTAACAACCTTTCTCTTCAACCAATTGTTATATATGCATTGTTTGAATGTGGATGAATATGATAAATCTTTTGAATGTATCAATTGGTGGACTTGATTTCATGATGCAGAGAACTTTAGGTTGTAGTTGCATGCATTCACTGTACCTTTTCCCTGTACTTGCTTAACTCCTTGGATTGTTTATTGATGTGGTTTTTCTCTTGCAGAGGATCAAATTATGTTATGGGGAGAAGCTATACAAGAACCTTACAATTTATTTTTATGTTGAGAAACAAACTTTTTTGCTCAATTTTGTTGATCTGGCTGGAGATTGTGCCCGATTATGGTTGTTGATGTATCTTTTGTACCCTTCTCAAGGCAGTTTTGAATAGGAGACAGTTAAAATGTTATCAGTTGGTTTGTAAGTCCTTCAAATCAAGGAGATAGAGTTTTCGTTTTAACCTAGTATGTAGTTAAATTGTTGCGGATGCATTGGTTTTATGTTATAAGTTTTTCTTAACAATGGAATGAATCAGTAGCTATACAGACTAAATATTTGATTCAGAAGTTGTCCAATTCCTGAGTCTTGACTGCTTTGAGATGAAATGGGATAAGCCCCTGAGCGGAAATCTAGCTGAACAAATATTTAGCCTAAAAAATGGGATTCAGATACGTGGTCTTCTTACAATTTTAGTGAAGGGTGTCTCAAACCAATGGGTCCAGGCAAGTGTAACTCATTCAGCAAGTTGGTTAGGAATGCTGTAGCTTCGTGTGCTTTGCCGAAAGCCTTTTCCAGGATGATCGTTTCCAAACGTTTACTGCAATGCAACCTTTCGTTATGAAGGAAAAGAGAGCCTGTCCCCTTGTAATCACCATTAAATTCACACACAATATATAAGCTTTAATGAATATCACTATAAGTATATTATGAAGTTCATATCAACAAGCGATAAAATGAATTTGAAGCTTATAAATAATTTTTTTTTCATTTAATAGACAATTTTTAGTATTTTTATAAATATATTATGAATTTTATATAAGTAAGAGATAAAAAGAGTTTTAAATTTATAAATAAAGATTTTTTTCATTTCATAAACAGTTTTTAATTGAAAATGTAAGACATTTATAAAATATCAAAATTAAGGTAAATTTAAACTAAAATGAAAATTTTTTTCATTATGTGTGAAAAAGTTAATAACATCAACGTCAATGTAAATATGGAAGTAAATTTAAATCAATATAAATTTTTTTCTTTATGGATGAAAGAACTAATAATATCAATATCAAGATAAATTTAAATTAAAATTAAAATAAATTTTTCTTTTTTATAAATAAAAGAATTAATATAATCAAAACATTGCATAATAATTCTAAGTCGATAAGAGATGAAATGAGAGTTAATTTTATAAATAAAGGCTTTAACCCACCAAATATGTATCTGCTTAATAGATAAAAGCGGGCTAAACTGTACATGCATGTATTGGATGAATGCCGTAGGACCTTAAAAGCAGATTAAAATAAATCTGTTTGTGTCTTCTTCCTAACAGGCAAACCGGTTAGATTTTTGTTGACGTGGCTAAATAAGAGTACAATCTAATCCAGTTATTCGGGAGAGACACTGTCACACGTGTCTTAGCTTTCAAACTCTAGAATCTATCCTTCGCCCTCCACGTGTCCCCTGTAACTGGCTCTTGAAGCTCTGATATTCATTTACTTCACATCCAGAGTTCCAAACCCTAACAGAACCTGGAAAATTCTTCACCGCAAAATCGAACGCGAGGATGTTGAGGCAGGCGTCGAAGAGGCTGCTCGGGCTAGCGTCATGCGAGTTTCCATCACGGCCCGTTCAGATTCTGCCACGTCTTTACCACGAGAATGTCATCGACCACTACAACAATCCTCGTAATGTCGGGTCCTTCGATAAGAACGATCCGAACGTTGGCACGGGCTTGGTCGGGGCTCCGGCTTGTGGCGATGTCATGAAGCTGCAAATAAAAATCGACGATGACTCTGGAAAAATCGTTGATGCTTGCTTTAAAACCTTCGGCTGTGGATCTGCGATTGCGTCTTCTTCTGTTGGTATGCCTTTTTTTACTTCTGGTTAATGAGATTTGTTGGTGTCGATTAATTTTTTCATTGAATTTGTAGTATTTTTTTTTCTTTTATCCTTGTTTTCTTCTATTAAAAACCGTACGGAAGGATTTAATTTCAAATCCATAACTGTTGTATCCTGGTTTGTGATTGTTATTGAAAGGCCTGAACTGCTTTATGAATGTTATTCTAAAATTGGTACTTTGGAGTTTATTGCAATGGCCTTCTATTATTGCGAAGGAGCTGTGTAGTAACTTTGGGTTCGTCTTGTTGCAGCTACTGAATGGGTGAAAGGGAAGAGCACGGAGGAGGTGCTAACCATTAAAAACACGTAAGTATTAGTTCCTTATCTCGAAGTTAATTTATAAGTATGTATGTACTCGACTCATATATTCTACAAGGATACTTTGTGGTATTGCTTTTTTCCTTTCCTTTTTGTTCATTTGCTCATCAGATTGCACGTTTTTATGCGGTTTTTACATCAGATTTTTGAACTAGTTAAGTGGAATTTGTTTATGTAATTAATTTATCCGTACTTTCTGTTCCTAGGGATTTTTTTTTTAATGAAGAATCTTAATCCTTCCATGGGTAGATCGTCCTCTTTCGCCCATTCCTTTAACTTCCTTTCTAGCAAGTTTCTATCTGCTCTTTCATCCAGTCATATCTGTATCTGCTAAGTGAAAGCACTAATTACTTGCCTCGCTAGACAGAATTTTGGATTATGCTTGTTAAATTTCAGTAATTCTAGGATATTCTCTATTCTCCATGTGTAGATGTCGAAGTTTTAGTTTTTATATTATAGCACAGTATATGAAAGCTTAATTATGGCAATCAAATCACAGAAGACAGAGCGTCTGCTCAAATAAAGCCAGCCGGAGGATCAAAACCATGTTTAACATTGTGTATTGAGTATTTTAATGATTAATTAAGTTCCAGACTATGATTTTAAGTATCAACCATTTAACAATTGTAAAAATCAATATAAAAATACAATTATGGAGACATAAGAGGTTAGTCCAGAGAGGAAAATGTTTGATGTGATTGTGATTTTGCCATTGCAATATATGTATGGTGTAAATCGTAATTATGTGATTGTGTAAATAGATTATCAGAACTCACCTAAAGCAGAACATAAGCTAATTCATAGCTTTCATGGGATTCTCAACTGGTCTGTTTCAGGTTTGAAGGCAACATATAATAACATGTGAACAAATTAGTGGTAGGGTAACACATGGTGGAAGAAATGAAGCAATAAAAGATTGATGCAAAACAATGCTGTTGTCTTTTAATTTATTTATTTTTTTCAAACTGATGGTGTGACCATGCAGGGTACACATCCAAGTCCCTGTTTGGTTGTACTTTACCTTGGGTTCAACTCAGGGTTGTGTGTTTCTTTCTTTTTTGTTCTTTAAATGTTCCCTTCAATTAGATTTAGTCATGGTGGACTGCAAAGTTTAGTATTTTATTGTGTTTTTACTTGCATAAATATATTACAGGGAGATCGCGAAACATCTTGCACTTCCCCCGGTTAAGTTGCACTGCAGCATGCTTGCAGAGGATGCTATCAAGGCAGCTGTCAAAGATGTAGAAGCTAAACGTGCCAAGTTGAATGGCAGTTCAAATGCTGCACCTATTGAGAAGGCTGCCGATGCCTGATGTCTCTGTATATGCCGAGGAAAAAAGTCTGGAGGCTTGCTACACATAGCTTATCTATAGTTAACCCTATCATTCTGTTAAAGTTGGGTAAACGGATACAAAATGGACCAGGGGAACTTTCAGGTACCACATAGAGGACACGAATAATGTAACCTGTCTAGAAGGGATGTTTGGCCAATGGTAAAACTATATATGTGATTGTGAATAAAGCATTGCTTCAACCCAGATGCAATCATTTCCACTGTTGACTGTTATAGTAGACTGTTTGCATCTCCATCAAGGTTGAGGTCTTGCTATTTACCCTCTTTTTTTTCCCTTTCAAAGCTCTCCCTATCAAGTTTGAGGCTATGCAATTTACCACATTTTCTTTTCCTTTCTGAACTGGTGATGATTTTGGGATAAAAAACGTTTTGCCTTTGTAAGCATTTATAGAATGGCCTTTTGTAGGTGCGCATTGTGTGTGGACTTGGCTGCTATGATAGTGCTCAAGCATGCTTTTGCATCTTTTTGGTTCCAAAGTAGTGTACTGATATGGGGAAGCTTCTATTGATCGGCTGCTTGTTTTCTAGTCAGAATTTGAAGGCCATAGATGCAGTAGCAATCACTTGAGATTTGCTGCAGAAAATTAGATTGTGGATCTGCCTCAGGATAATTGTACAAATCCTCGGCCACTTTTTCATGGGAGCTTTGGATACATATAGCAGCGTGGCTGATCTCCACGTTAGTTGAATTGAATGCTTGTATACATATAGTGATGATCTAGAAAATCTGGATTCCAGGCACGCTATTTTTGGAAGGTTTAAACTGGGTGGATAAGTGAAACTTGTGTAGATGATAGTAACAGGCCATTTAAAGGTGTCTACGACATGACTGGATGGATGCATATCTGGATACAGCCATGCATGCATGAGGTTCTTCTTTGGAAGGACACGACACGAGGTTCATGAGGCCAAGGAAGAACAAAGTGCATGAAATAAATTCGTGATGTTTGTAACAGACAAAGATGCTGGAGAAAGTAGATGTGTACAATACTTTCAAATCACAGTTAAAAGACGGGAAATTGCACGTAAAATATTTTACTTATCAGAGGAAAAGTTCTTTTCTGAAAAATATTTTACTTAAAACTTTAATTTTTTCTGTTATATAAAAAATTTTAAAAATAATTTTTGTTATTTGGGTCCTCGTGAAAAACATTTTCCTACTAATCTTAAAAAATTCTTTATGTTTTTCTCTAGCCATCCGCAAATATAATATGCTTATATATATATATATATTTGTAATATAAGTCATATGTTTGGTTAAAGAGTTTTTTGTTATTATTTCAAAAATCATAAAATTTTAATTACTGTGAAAGTTGAGGCAAATTTCATTTCAATGTAAACGCTTTACTCGATTAGTTGAAGGCTTAGATTTCTTAGAAAACTTCTCTCTTGTGGTTAAGCCGACCACCATTCACATTGTCTTCGCTGTTGCCCTGGCAAACAGGTGGGATATTATATGCAATTAGATGTCAAAAATGTCTTCCTTCACATGATCAACCACTAGAACTTGTCTACATTGGACAACCTCCAAGATTCAAGGATACCAACAAACCTCACCATGTCTCTCAAGGCTCTCCATATGGCCTTTGCCAAGCCCAAGACCCTGGTTTGGTCGATTCAATCTGTTCTTATTCCCTTAGGCTTTGTTTGTAGCACAGCTCACTCATCTCTCTTTGCAAGGCATAACACGCTCACGACACCATCTATTTGCTTTATATATGCATACCCCATCATATATAATTCCATTTTAAGGTGGTTAAGAGAATTCTCAGATTTGTTAAAAGGGACAATCACGTGGCACTTTGACTATTTATCTACTAATCACCTAGCTTTATATGGCTTTCTAATGCAGATAGATTGGGTTGGCTATGCTCTCAACAGACGATCCACAACAGGTTACTGCTCTTGTCCCGGAGGAAATTGCAAATCCTGGAGCTCAAGTTCTAAGAAGCAACCAACAGTGGCTACGTCTAATGCTGAGGTTAAGTATCAAGCCTTAGCTTCAACCACTGCTCAACTTACACGGATTTCTTATATCCAACTAATCAGTGTAAAACTACTCCCATGTAAACTGAAGAATTAAATCTTCACATATCAATATCAACATTAGTTGTATTCATTTTCTTGTCTTGTTTCATTTCTTTTCTTCTCCGTAGAGTGTTTTAGGTGGGATTTGTTGGTGATATATAGGCCTTTATAGTGTCTTATGGGGGACAAGCAAAAGGCATTTCAGGAATGCCATGCAAAAGAGTAGCAGATTACAAAAAAAGAGATCTGCTACTTCCAGCATTGAGGTACAGAGCATGACAAACAAAGGATGAAGTGAGAAATCATATCAAATGAAAAGACATAGGGGTAGATGAAAGTAACCGGATTAATAAAGCCCTTGCATTGAAAGAAGAGTTCATGTACTCTCCCCTTGTTGGTTTTGAAAGTAGGCTTTGAAGTTTGAGTCTCTTAATACCCCTGCTTTGGCCAATCCATCTGCAACGTTGTTGGCTTCCCTCATTACCTGCTTGAAGGTGATTCTTGTGCTTCTACGCAAGAAAGTTTCAATGGCATTCGAAATATTTTTCATCCGCCAAGGGACTTTGCAGTGGTGTTGCGCCCAATTGATAGCATTGGCAGAGTCGCTCTCCACAACTAGATAATGAGTGGCAGCCTAGGGAGATGGAAAAGAAGAAGCTGATTCCTTCCCTAATGGCATAAAATTCAGCAAAATTGGAGTCCTCAATGTCAATGTTTTCAGAGAAAGTTCCCCGAATGAAGCCATGGTGGTCCCTGATCACTCCTCCAATACCAGCAGGTCCGGATTTGTCTTTTGCTGCGCCATCAGTGTTGAGTTTGAGAGTTCCAGGCAGTGGGATTGACCAGTTGGCAGCCATTCTTTGCTTCTTCCTTTTGGTAATTAATCCAAATGATTAATTACCAACAAATTAAAAGTGGAAATTACCTTGTTTCTTTCACCTTTGTTGCTCCAGGCTATGCACCAGTCCTTTTGGACCCCATCTTTATGTTGGTAGCGATACACAACAAACCCAACTGATCCACCGCTTGAATTGTCAGGCGGCATCTCCACGAAATGCACCAGCAAAGGACCATCTGAATCTTGCTCCTCTAGAACGAGCCGTGAGTACCCAAGCTTCCCCACTCAGTCTTTGGACACTACGAATGTCAGAGCTTTGCCAGTCTTATTTATTATCCTACAATCTGCTTGAGCCAGTGCATCGGGGTTAGCATTCTCCGCTGACATGTTGTTGTTTGCTTTTATTTTTGCTTAGAATATTGCTTCTGCTTCTACTTCTGCTTGTACAACAAATTAAAACACCTAGCCTAAGCTCAATTATATACATCTTTGCCCACAAAAGGACAAGAGCCCATTAGGTATATATGCATGTAAAGCCAAGTTGGGCGTGAAACAAAATCCTGTGTGAACAAGGTGACTAGTATCTAAGTTAGTTATTAACTAACCTGTCCCATCACTGATTCCGGACCACCTGGCCTTAATCCATCCACAAAGCACTACAACATATCGAAATTACAACTTTGTAAGGAAAATGCCCTTCCCCTTTGTTCAACGTATGATTAGTCAAGTACAGAAAAAGCTTGTTCTTTAGCCTCTGCACCTTCTTCCTTGCTTTCTAAGGTGTCATCACCCTTTTTTTCTCAGTCAAATGAAATTTGTATTAAAATTACAGAAACTACATTGTAAAGATCAACCCATATATGGAAATTAAGGTAAGGATATACAATCAAGATACAAGCCTAGTGATACTCAGTATCATCATACAAACGATTCACCTAAGTTGCTCAGTATCGTAAGACAATGCAAAAGTCATAAGTAAATCAAAATATTAACACAGCATCTCAACCCAATAAAAATATCAAAAGTTACCATAATGTTGAGAACATCGTATTTCCGTTAACTCCAAATTTTGTTAGAGAATCTGCAAAATAATTATCTTCTCGTAGTGTATGTGTAAAAGACACCATGCCTAGTGCAAGAACAAGTGCATCAATCTCATTAAATAAATACTGTTGAGGAATAATACTTGCATGGTGGCAGCAAGTAGATGTTATTTTGATAACACATTGTCCTCTGTTTTTGATTTAGTTTGCTTTGCTGTACTGATAGTTAATATTATGGCTATGTTTGAGCTGTCTTTTGATGTGTTGGTTTGCATGTAAGCCAACACTTACACTTGTCAAATATATGTACAAGTGTCTTTGTGTAGACAAGGTATATAAACCTTGTTTTTTTTGTATTAATGATATAATTCTGATCATTATCTCCAGTACATATGCACTGCTCTTTATCTCTTCATAATATTAACATGGTATCAGAGCATTCTTAGGATCTTGTTGAACTTATAAATATCAAGAATTCTTCTTCCTTCTTTGTTGATTCATCTCCTGACATTTCCAGCATGTCTTCACCTTCAGCTTCTCATGTATCTCTAACTATATTTGATGGCAAAAACTATCAAGTTTGGGTTGTTAAGATGGAGGCTTTTCTTAGAGGTTATGACCTCTGGTCAGCTGTTGAAACTGATGAAGAACCTGCTACTTTGAGAGACAATGCAACCATAAATCAAATCAAGCAATATTCTGAAGAAGTAGCAAAGCGATACAGAGCTTTGTCGTTCATTCAAGCTGCTGTGTCTGAGAAGATCTTTAGTAGGATCATGAGTTGCAAA